AAACTCTCCTCAGACACCTTCCTCCAAGGCCCCTGGTGCCCTGGCTAAACCATATCCCGAAACACCTTGACTCTATCATTACTGCCTAAGCAAACCTCCTCAATGCCTCCCTTGCCTCTGGTACTTCCCTTCCCTCTTTAAAGCTGCTACTGCCCATCCTCTTCCTAAACCCAATAAAGACCACTCTGGCCCCAGAAACTATCGCCCTATCAGCCTCCCCGAAACTTTAGGAAAACTCTTTGAAAAACTCGTCAATCATCGCCTTGCAGATACCTGGAACACAATTCTCTACTTTTGATGGCCCAAATTTTGGGTTCAAAACACAAAAGATCACACAGGATGCCATTAACATCTTTTTAAACTAATCCCCATAAACACAAAACAAACAGGGGCAGCCCTGGTTGCAAAAAGACGTTGAAAAAACTTTTGACACTGTCTGGCACCAAAAGGGGTCAAATACAAACTCTGCACTAACTTCAACCTGCCTCTACTACTCGTAAACTCCTCTGCACTTCCTAGACCCGCCGTTTCCATGAGAATGAAATTCCAAGGCTCTTACTCCGACTACTTCACACTAAATGCTGGAGTACCCCAGGGATCTGTCCTCTCCCCTTTCCTCTAATTTTATACACTAACGACATTTTCCCAAAACCCCGTATACCACAACTCCATCACACTAGCCTATGCAGACGACATTACACAACTTACACTCATGCCAATCAGATACACTCACACACAAAACACAAAAAGAGGTCGACAGGATAGCCATCTGGGAACAAAAATGGAGGATCAAAACCAATGCAGCTAAATCCAGCATTACGTATTTTAACTACAGGAAACGTGATCCTCCATTACCTGTCGAGCTCAGAACAGCTGACACCCGCACTTACATCCCCATCACACAATCTGTCACTGTCCTTGGCGTTAATCTTGACTACCTTCTTCGCTTACACGGACACATTCACTCAAGGCATGCAATAGCTAGTAAGGCCCTTGCGGGCCTCTACAAGCTGAAACATGCCTCTCAGCGCACCAAACTACACCTCTACAAATCCCTAATACGTCCCCTGATAACTTACTCTCCTCTAGCTCTCTCTCTTTGTTGCAACCCCTGAATGGGTTGCAATATATATATATATATAATGTGTATTATGATTATGAATATAATGTATATTACCTTTTCATATAATTTTATACTGCTTATATTTGCGCTAATAGCTAAATCGTAAATATATGACTTTATATTATTATTTGACTTAGTTATGTTGTTAGGTATGTGCTCAGTTCAAGTCTTGATTGTCTAACTACTGTAATTATCGCTCTTTGCTTGTTATTCTGCCGGCTTCTGTTTCTGAGCTGCAGCTGTCCACGGAGCTATCACGTGATCGACGGGGGGGGGGTGTCCTCACCTCGCCTGAAGTATTCAGTCTGGTCTAGACTCTCTTGGTGGTTGGACAGATTGTCTGTCTCATTATTCTTGTTAGTTCTGTAGAACTCTGTTCACAGAACATTGTATAGACTTAGTGATTTTCAACGTTGTACTGAGGTTGTGTGTCGCATAGACTCTCGAAACAACTCAGGTCCTGAGCTGTAGCTTCTGACCTAACTTGTACTGGTATCTGTGTATTATCACAGTCGGGGATTTTCTTATGTTGAACTTAGATTCAGTAGTATGGGAGTTTTGTAACTCTTGTGGAGGATCTGCAGATGGTCCCTACTTAGTGTCGTTATATTATCTCCTTGTTCCTGATTCTGTGTCGCAGTTGCTTGTTGTATTGCTATTGGGCTTAGCATTCTTTTTTGTTCAAGCAGATTGTTCTGGTTGCTAGTCGCTCAAGAAGTTACTTTATCTGAGGACTTTGTCAGTCACTTGTTTAAGTCTAGTCGAGTCTTGAGACATAGCTAACTACTTAGAGCACTTACATACACAAACTTACTTGTACATATGTGTAATATCTTATTAAATGTTAATGTACCAGACGGTACTTAAGAATTATAAATGAGATATGTGCTTTCAGCACAATAATATTGTACTCGAGAGAAGTGATATTATTTTAATTACTGTGATTAATTTAATTTAATTTAATTTGATAATATACCTCTAGACTTAATAAATTTATTAAATTTTAATTTCTCTAGTTAGTAGCCTACCAGTTATAATCTTGAAGCACTATTGAATTATACTGAATTCTAATGGATAATTGGACAAGGATACTGACTACTCGTTACGAAAACCCAGTAACAGGCTGGATGCTAGAAGGGCAGTCCTTTCTAGTATTCACTGGAGATCTCTAAGCTTTTAGAATCGCGTTTTTTGTAACACTCTTGCAGCAAAAACAAACTTACTTAAGCTGCAGCGTGTCCAGAACAAGGCGCTGCGCTGGGTGCTTGATGTCAGATGGGAGGACTTCGCCACAAGCGAGTCTCTCCATGCTCAATTAGACATCCCTGCGCTGAATCTGTACTGGAAGACGCTCCGTGACAGACAGATAGACAAACTTGAGACACGACATGACTACTGGACCTCTCTCCTTGACGAAGACATTCGCAGACCCACAAACCAACACAACCTTTTCTACTCCTTGCATGATCCTGCTCCTAACCCTATTTACAAATAAATAACCTTGGATTCTATGACAGGTACCTTCTCTGACAGGTATCATTCTCTGACCCACGTTCGCCTTAGCTATTGGGTTAAGACATGGCTCAGTTCTACAGTCCTCTCTAGCTCTAAACGTAGCATATCTCTTCCTCCCTGCTCACACCACCGAAGTCCCAAAGAAGAGCCTGAATTTCTCTTCTCAGTATCTGTCCCACGATTGCCTCGCTGCTGGGTTAAGCCCTGGCTCTATATCTACGACTAAGAACACTCCTCTCCAGCACTATTCTTCGTCTGTCCCGTCTTCCCCGCTCATCCCATTTGGGGTCTTACCTGTACTATCGTTCGTTCGTTCATAGAAGTATAGTAATAGTAGTAACAATAGAAGTAGTTGTAGCAGTAGTTATAGTAATAGTAGTAGTAGTTGTAACATATGTTGTAGTAGTAGATGTAATAGAAGTAGTAGTAGTAGATGTAGTAGAAGTAGACACAGATAGTGGATGAAGTAGAAATAGAAATGTAGTAGTAGTACTATAGTAATAGTAGTGTAGTAGTAGTGTAGTTGCAGTAGTGTAGTAGTAACAGTAGCAGTATATAAGGAGACGAGAACCTAGGGACACTAAGGAGAACTTTCAGTTCGTAACTGTGGAAGAAAAATAACCGTCGGGATAAAACTCACTGACGAAGAAGACAAAGCATAAGAACATATGAAAGAAGGAACACTGCAACAGGCCTACTGACCCATGCGGAGCAGGTCCATGTCCTCCCCCAGATTAGCCCAATGACCCACCCAGTCTGGTCACCTCCACTCAAGGATGGAGCACTGCATCAGACCCAGCAGCACAAGCTAGTCAGGTCCAACTCACACCCACCCACACCCACTCATGTATTTATCTAACCTATTTTTAAAACTACACAACGTTTTAGCCTGAATAACTGTACTCGGGAGTTTGTTCCACTCATCCACAACTCTATTACCAAACCAGTGCTTTCCTATATCCTTCCTGAATCTGATTTTTTCCAACTTGAAACCATTGCTGCGAGTCCTGTCTTGGCTGGAAATTTTCAGTACGCTATTTACATCCCCTTTATTTATTCCTGTTTTCCATTTATACACCTCGATCATATCCCCCCTAATTCTACGCCTTTCTAGAGAGTGCAGATTCAAAGATAGACATAGAAGAATACAGAACACAAATGAAGAGGAAGGCGAAGAGGAGGCAGGTCAGGTCACCAGTATTGTGAAGATTACAGGACATGAGAAATGAGAAAGTCAAGCATCTTCAAGAAGAAACAAGCCTCGACTATAATTCATGTTAGGTATGTTGTCCCAGCAAGACAGCCAGCACCCGTTCAGACGATCGTCACACTCCCTGGCCTGGTGGCTAAAGCTCCCTCTTCACACACGGAGGGCCCGGGTTCGATTCCCGGCTGGTGGAAAAATTTCGACACGTTTCCTTACACCTGTTGTCCTGTTCACCTAGCAGCAAATAGGTACCTGGGTGTTAGTGGACTGGTGTGGGTCGCATCCTGGGGGACAAGATTAAGGACCCCAATGGAAATAAGTTAGACAGTCCTCGATGACGCACTGACTTTCTTGGGTTATCCTGGGTGGCTAACCCCCCGAGGTTAAAAATCCGAACGAAATCTTACCTTATCTTAAGCCAACCTGTTAAGCCATCCTGGGCCTGGATGACAGCTTAATCAACAATCTAATGATCATAATCATAATTTTTAAGGGTTGGACCGGTAAACCAGTGGAAGGCCTCGGAAGCCAGTACTCACCTAATTGTGGTTGCAGGGGTCGAGACTCAGCTCCTGGCCCCGCCTCTTCACTGATCGCTACTAGGTCCTCTCTCTCCCTGCTTCCTGAGCTTTGTCATACCTCGTCTTAAAGTTTGCTATGTATGGTTTCTGCCTCCACCACATCACTTGTTAGGCTATTCCACTTCCTGACGACTCTATGACTGAAGAAATACTTCCTAACATCCCTCTGACTCGTCTGAGTCTTCAGCTTCTAATTGTGACCCCTTGTTTCTGTCTCCCCTCTCTGGAACAACCTGTCTCTGTCTACCTTATCTATTCCATGCAGTATTTTGTATGTCGTTATCATGTCTCCCCTGACCCTCCTGTCCTCCAGTGCCGTGTGTGTGTGTGTGTGTGTGTGTGTGTGTGTGTGTGTGTGTGTGTGTGTGTGTGTGTGTGTGTGTGTGTGTGTGTGTGTGAGTGTGTAGGCCCACGCGTGTGCTTGATGTAATTATCTGTTTTCATTTAGGGATGAAGATTATGATCACTGTCTCTCATCTTCACTACGTGTGCACATGTATGTATTCTTCACTCAATAGTTTATGTAAGTGAGTGATTGCGTACATAGCCAAGAACATGTGTGTAAACTACTGACCGTCACGGTACTCGTAGAGATGAACCTGGTAGCCACGACGAGCCAGGAAACACGCTTCCAGCGCTCCAACCTGCGTCACAAATACAACACTTAAACAAGTGATTGAGAATTCATAATAATATTAATAACAGTAGTAATAGTAATAATAGTAGAAGTGGTAGTAATAGCAGCAGCAGCAGCAATAGTAGTAGTGGTAGTTAGTAGTAATAGTAGAGGTAATGATAAAAGTAATGGTGGTAGTAATAATAGTAAAAGTAATGGTAGTAGTAGTAGTAGTAGCAGAGGTAACAGTAGTAGTAGTGGTGGTGGTGGTAATATTAGTAGTAGTAGTAATAGCAGTAGCAGTAGTAGTAGTAGAAATAATGGTAGTAGTAGAGGTAATAGTAGTAGTAGCAGCAGCAAGAATAGCAATAGTAGTAGTAGTAGTAGTAGCAGGAACAGCAGTAGTAGTAGTAGTAGTAGTAGCAGGAGCAGCAGTAGTAGTAGTAGTAGTAGCAGCAGCAGCAGCAGCAGCAGCAGCAGCAGCAGCAGCAGCAGCAGCAGTAGTAGTAGTAGTAGTAGTAGTAGTAGTAGTAGTAATAGTAGTAGTAGTAGTAGTCGTAGTGGTGGTAGTGCTAAATACAAGTGTTAAATACAACAGTGTTAAATACAACGTGTTAAATACAAGTGTTAAATACAACAATGTTAAATACAAGTGTCAAATACAACGATAAAACATTAGTTAGTAACCTTCAATTACAGACCATTGTCACTGATATACAAAATATGTAATGTTATGGAGCGGACTATAAGGAGAGGAACAGTGGAATACCTGGAAAGGAGCAGATTCATAAACAACAAAGACCACGGTTGTAAAGATGGTAAATCCTGTATCACAAATCTATTGGTTTTCTATGACAAGGTAACGTAAATTATGCAGGAGAGAGAGGGATGGGTGGACTAATATTTTTGTACTGTGAGAAAGTATACGATACAGAAAGTCTAAAGAGGGCTGGCTTTATCCCTAATAACCCAGAAGGATGCTGAGAACTTGGTTGAAGATATCTTGAAACAGTTACAGGACGAAATGGAGCTACAAGATTGTCGGTCACAGTGCTATGACAACGCTGCTGTGATGGCTGGACACTGAAGTGATGTTTATCAAATAATGAGTGAGAAAACAACCTGGCAGTGTTTGTGAATTGCAACAATCACTTACTCAACTTGGTATGTGTACATGCGTACATACATACTTCAAGTTCTCCAGGACATGAGACAATGACAACGAAACCAGTCAAACAGGATTTTGGAAGACAGTACTCATTCGCAGTGACCGTATTCAAATGAGACTGCAGAATCCTAGCATGAACTTCCACGATGCTGCCCTGGATCTGAAAGCCCTTTTAGATCATTTTGATGATGAAAAAGAAGTGTTGGTCAGTGAGTCACTCGAAGGACTCGGTCTCTGTGAAGAATGGAATATTGAAGTTGAAATACGTCAGAGACGAAAGAAACGAATGGCTGATGAGAACTGGAGAGACGCTGAGTTAACAGCCAAAGACGAAAGGGATAGAGTCATAAAGGGAACACTAGACCGTCTTCACAGAGAAATGAATGAAAGATTCACTCGTTTGCTCTATTCTGACGCCAAGTTTAGGTTCTTACTCCATGTCGAGGGACTTTGTTACGGCGCCGACAGTAATAACCTAAAGAAGTGCAAAAATTGGGGCGAATTGTACAGCTTTGATGTTGATGGACAGCAGTTATATGAAGAAATTTGGGATTGAAGAATATTCATATCAAGTCGGACCAACATGAAAATATCAAGACCTGAAGAGTTTCTCGAATTTAATGTTCAGTATGAAGATGAGAGCGTCTTCCCCAATCTTAGCATTGCTTCTCAGATAATACTAACCATCGCAGTTTCCATCGACAGCTGTGAGAGATCATTCAGCAAATTAAAACTAATACTCTTGTATTAGTCAAGGCAGACTCTGTGATCTTATTCTGTTGAGTGTAGAAACAAGAAATTGAAAAAATCTGAATCGCAGACCAATCCGCATTAGTGACAGCATGGACGGTGCAGTTATAATTTTCATGTTGTGCCATAATTTGTTAATTAAAAGATTAACGAGCTTGACTTGTATTTCTGAGTTGATTTTATGGTAAAGTTATGTGCAAGATGGGTGTCAGATGTTGGGACAGAGGCGCAGTTTCAGTACTTGCCGTAGACGCTATTTTCTGTAGATACGCCCCTGCAAGTGGCTATTAGAATTTAACCCCAGCAAATGTAAACTTATGAAAATCGGGTAAGGGCAAAGAAGACTGGAAAAAGTACAGGTTCTGGAGACAAAGGCAGCAAATATTGCTGAAAGAGAAGGACTTCGGGATAAGCATAGTTCTAAGTATTTTGCCTAAGGCTGCAGTAAACACAAGACTAGCAATAAGGATAGCTTTCAGGAAGCTTATCAAGAAGTAATTCACGACCCTATACACAGCATATGTCAGACCCATTTTGAAGTCTGCAGTGCACGTATGGCAGCTGCATCTGATACAGCATGAAAAGATGGAAAATCGTGAAGGGCTGCAACAGACTAATCCCAGAGCTGTATTCCGATGCGATGCTTTAATTGGAGGTTTAGTAAGTTAGGGAAGAAGAATGATAGGTAAGGATGGAATGTGGAAAAAGGGTGAGAGGGGGGTGAGAAGAGTGATAATAAAGGTAAGTGCATTTTGATAAAAGTGTGTGTTGTGTTATTCATGATAATCATTGGACAGGGTATACCCCACCACCCGTCAGCTGTACACATGTATACAAATTGCATACACGTGTGGCAGTGAATTGATAGTGGGTATAGTTTTTCCTACTGCTGCTTTTTTTGTATGCCTGTCTGCCAAAAGAATTTGTAACCAGTCAAAGACTGGCTACTATAACATCAGTCTATTTACAAATAACTCCATACGTTCATGTTCTCACATTGAATAATAGATCTGTTCAGAATTTTAACTGTATTTTTATGGCATTCAGATTCATTATTTACTTCTCTCCTAATGTTATTCCTAATGTTTGACACAAATATACAAAAGGTGCATGCAGTTGTTTTTCCTTCAATGTACTTCGTCTTACTCGTCACTTTTATCATGTTAAGAGAAATTCAGTGTCTTATTAAATTCATAGGAATTTCACAGTCATACCTTCCTCTCTGATTGTTGAATATCTCTACCTGGCATCTCTTATGAGCATGTTGTTGAGTCATTATGAGTTAAGTGTCTTCAGTACGTTGTTGAGTCATTATGAGTTAAGTGCCTTCAGTACGTTGTTGAGTTATTATGAGTTAAGTGCCTTCAGTACGTTGTTGAGTTATTATGAGTCAAGTGCCTTCAGTACGTTGTTGAGTCATTATGAGTCAAGTGCCTTCAGTACGTTGAGTTATTATGAGTCAAGTACCTTCAGTACTTTGTTGAGTCATTATGAGTAAAGTGCCTTCAGTACGTTGTAGAGTCATTATGAGTTAAGTGTCTTCAGTACGTTGTAGAGTCATTATGAGTTAAGTGCCTTCAGTACGTTGCAGTCATTATGAGTTAAGTGTCTTCAGTACGTTGTAGAGTCATTATGAGTTAAGTGTCTTCAGTACGTTGTAGAGTCATTATGAGTTAAGTGCCTTCAGTACGTTGCAGTCATTATGAGTTAAGTGTCTTCAGTACGTTGTAGAGTCATTATGAGTTAAGTGCCTTCAGTACGTTGCAGAGTCATTATGAGTTAAGTGCCTTCAGTAATGACAAAGAATCAGCAATGATCATGGAAATAAACTTATCATTTATAAATTAAATTTAGTGCAATTATGATGGAAAACAATTCAGTGTGTAACACAAAGCCCAGTAGCTTATTCTTATGTCAAACTGAACACTGTTACCATAATGTTTATGTAGGGAGGTGGCAACCAGAGAGACGCAACTCCAAACTGTTACCATAATGTTTATGTAGGGAGGTGGCAACCAGAGAGACGCAACTCCACACTGTTACCATAATGTTTATGTAGGGAGGTGGCAACCAGAGAGACGCAACTCCACACTGTTACCATAAAGTTTATGTAGGGAGGTGGCAACCAGAGAGACGCAGCTCCACACTGTTACCATAAAGTTTATGTAGAGAGGTGGCAACCAGAGAGACGCAGCTCCACACTGTTACCATAAAGTTTATGTAGAGAGGTGGCAACCAGAGAGACGCAACTCCATACTGTTACCATAATGTTTATGTAGGGAGGTGGCAACCAGAGAGACGCAACTCCATACTGTTACCATAATGTTTATGTAGGGAGGTGGCAACCAGAGAGACGCAACTCCACACTGTTACCATAATGTTTATGTAGGGAGGTGGCAACCAGAGAGACGCAACTCCACACTGTTACCATAAAGTTTATGTAGGGAGGTGGCAACCAGAGAGACGCAACTCCACACTGTTACCATAATGTTTTATGTAGGGAGGTGGCAACCAGAGAGACGCAACTCTACACTGTTACCATAATGTTTATGTAGGGAGGTGGCAACCAGAGAGACGCAACTCCACACTGTTACCATAATATTTATGTAGGGAGGTGGCAACCAGAGAGACGCAACTCCACACTGTTACCATAATATTTATGTAGGGAGGTGGCAACCAGAGAGACGCAACTCCACTAAAATTCTTCTTCAGAATTATCTACAGTTATAACTTGTAATTTTTCTAACACATAGCAAGAAATTTGATCATGACAGTTGCTTTTGTAATTAATTAGGAAACAGGTGACTAGTGATGGGCTTACTGAGACCATTATTATTTTTATAATAAAAAAGAAGCGCTAAACCACAAGGGAGGAGCTTATGATATGTGACATTACCAACATACAGCATTGTATGACCCTTGTAGGTTTACCTGGAGTTACCTGTAGAGAGTTCCGGGGTCAATGCTCCCTCGGCCCGGTCTGAAACTAGGCTCGTGGTGGATCAGGGTCTGATCAACCAGGCTGTTACTGCTGGCCATATGTAAACTGACGTACGAACTACAGCCCGGCTGGTCAGTATCGACTTTGGTGCCTGTCCAGTGCCTTCTTGAAGACAGCCAGGGTCTATGGTAATCCCCCTTATGTATGCTGAGAGGCAGTTGAACAGTCTTGGGCCCCTGAACGCTTATTGTGTTGTCTCTCAGTGTTACTCGTGGCACTTCTTTTTGATTGTAAAAATAATAACAGAAGCATAGAGCAACCATGGAGGGTAAAGTTCTCATGTTCTCTGTGGTGATACAGTTTACACAGGATATAGAATTTAACATAATTCCTTGTTTTCACAAACCATCTGCATTTATGTTAACTTCTGAACATTTAACAAGATATATGTTGACAGTCATCATGTATTTTAATACCAAGTACAGGTTAAGCTTAGCCATTTAATAGCAAGTATTTACAAGTTCACTTTTCCGATATAATTGACGTGAGGAATACTAAGTTGCCAGTTATCGGGTAACGGGAAGGGTTTGAACTCATGTCAAGTGAGTCCTAAAAGTCACAGGCCAGTGTGTTAACCACTGAACCAGCTGACTCGAAAAATATTCATCCAACTAGTTATATTTATACACCATAGGAAGGTTAGCATGGACCACACACTGTGACCACAAATGCAGATGAATTCCACACTAGGTGTGGGATTCACTGTAAAACCGGCATTTGTGGTCAGAGTGGTTCTCAAAACCTCCCTTTGATGTACAGAAATATACGTAGTTCGACGAATCGTTTTAGAGGCCGGTGGTCGAGTGGTTAACGCACTGGCCTGTGAGTTTCAGGACTCGCCAAGGGCTCAAACCCCATCCGTCCTGATTTGTCTACAATTTGAAATAAGTCACTGTCTGACTTTTTTTGGGTTATCCTAGGCTTTCTACACATATGCTGCTATGTATGATAATCTATGAAAACTGTATTCGTGTATACGTGAATAAACTTGCTTACTTCAAGAGCCAAGTTGCTACTTAACATGACAGACCGCGCCCTACGTGGATTTGATTCTTGCTTGCAGCATTTCCAGGTTAATGTCGCTCTGGGAAAATCCTACAGGGATCCCTGAGAAACTCTCTCTGACACAATTCCGGTTTTCGTCTGCCTGGGGGGATACTACACGTATCTTACCTTTAATATTAACGTACACGGGCGCGCGCACACGCGCACTCGGCCGTACACATAAGCTTACGTATGAGCTTACACATGCGCACATGTGAGCTTACACATGCGCACATGTGAGCTTACACGTGTGCACATATGAGCTTATACGTGAGCACACATGAATGTATACGGGCGAAAATGAGTACATTCATAAACGTACAGAGGCGCACCCATGAACATACAGGAACGCACTCATGAACGTACATGACGCACTCATAAACGTACAGGAATGCACTCATGAACGTACAGGGGAGGTGATAAATTAAACATGTGCAACTCCTGGGTATGTGATGAATGGTTTTGAAAACCGACAAGTTGAAGATGAAGATCATGGTGCGTAAGTGTCTCAATCTTCATCTCTTGGGTATCTTTACTGAGGAAACGTTTCGCCACACAGTGGCTTCATCAGTCCATACAAAGGAGAAACGTGAAGGACAGGGGGAGAATGAGGTAATCTGTCCCTCAACCTTGAGTCGATGTGGTCAGTTCATCAATCTTGAATAGAATACAGCATATATATCTCAGTAGTAGAACCAGTTACCAGTAACCAGTGTACCAATAGATGACTCACATACCAACTGCCCTGCGTGAATCATTGACTGTTACGCATATTGCTGCTGACCATAGCAGGATTTCAAACACCCCTCACCCTGTAGGCACATGTGGGTCAGTCGAAGATAGGGAGCAGAGAGAGGCAGGTCGGCTGTTGGCGCTTCCCATACTTCCCGTTATACATTATACGTACAAACCAGCCTACGTGAGTATTTTTACTCTATCCACGTTATCAAAACCCACATGACATATACCGTAGGCAGGAGAGGTGCAGCAGTCGTAGGTGGTGTCAGGGGAGGTACACACAAGCTTATCTGTGACGCACACTGACAACAACACCTTCACAAATAAATGGATGGATATTAAATTATGTAATCACAGACATGCGCAGCACTGTGAATTTTTTTATAAGTAAGTAAGTAAGTTTATTCAGGTATACACAAATACAGTTACATAGAATTATCATACATAGCAGCATGTGTGTAGAGAACCTAGGATAACCCAAAAAAGTCAGACAGAGTGACTTATTTCCACTGGGGTCCTTTGATGCTATCACCAGAATCATCACCACACAACGTTAAAGCTCATTACCAGCGAAACATAGCCTAGATAAAGCTCATTACCAGCGAAACATAGCCTAGATAAAGCTCATTACCAGCCCAAAACATAGCCTAGATAAAGCTCATTACCAGCGAAACATAGCCTAGATAAAGCTCATTACCAGCGAAACATAGCCTAGATAAAGCTCATTACCAGCGAAACATAGTCTAGATAAAGCTCATTACCAGCGAAACATAGCCTAGATAAAGCTCATTACCAGCGAAACATAGCCTAGATAAAGCTCATTACCAGCGAAACATAGCCTAGATAAAGCTCATTACCAGCGAAACATAGCCTAGATAAAGCTCATTACCAGCGAAACATAGTCTAGATAAAGCTCATTACCAGCGAAACATAGCCTAGATAAAGCTCATTATCAGCGAAACATAGCCTAGATAAAGCTCATTATCAGCGAAACATAGCCTAGATAAAGCTCATTACCAGCGAAACATAGCCTAGATAAAGCTCATTATCAGCGAAACATAGCCTAGATAAAGCTCATTATCAGAGAAACATAGCCTAGATAAAGCTCATTATCAGCGAAAAAATAGCCTAGATAAAGCTCATTATCAGCGAAACATAGCCTAGATAAAGCTCATTATCAGCGAAACATAGCCTAGATAAAGCTCATTATCAGCGAAACATAAACCTAGATAAAGCTCATTACCAGCGAAACAAGCCTAGATAAAGCTCATTTATCAGCGAAACATAGCCTAGATAAAGCTCATTATCAGCGAAACATAGCCTAGATAAAGCTCATTACCAGCGAAACATAGCCTAGATAAAGCTCATTACCAGCGAAACATAGCCTAGATAAAGCTCATTATCAGCGAAACATAGCCTAGATAAAGCTCATTACCAGCGAAACATAGCCTAGATAAAGCTCATTATCAGCGAAACGTAACATTAATAAAATTTTCATAGCGTTGCATATACGTCCATTTAGCTCAATAAATATAAAGCTAAATCTCCGGACTGTCGTTCATGATTGTAACCATGTATAGGAGTGTAGATGGTTTATTACCTTTGTAACTTGTGATTGTAACCATGTATAGGAGTGTAGATGGTTTATTACCTTTGTAACTTGTGATTGTAACCATGTATAGGAGTGTAGATGGTTTATTACCTTTGTAACTTGTGATTGTAACCATGTATAGGAGTGTAGATGGTTTATTACCTTTGTAACTTGTGATTGTGACCATGTATAGAAGTGTGGATGGTTTATTACCTTTGTAACTTGTGATTGTAACCATGTATATGAGTGTAGATGGTTTATTACCTTTGTAACTTGTGATTGTGACCATGTATAGGAGTGTAGATGGTTTATTACCTTTGTAACTTGTGATTGTGACCATGTATAGGAGTGTAGATGGTTTATTACCTTTGTAACTTGTGATTGTGACCATGTATAGGAGTGTAGATGGTTTATTACCTTTGTAACTTGTGATTGTGACCATGTATAGGAGTGTGGATGGTTTATTACCTTTGTAACTTGTGATTGTAACCATGTATAGGAGTGTAGATGGTTCATAACCTTTGTAACTTGTGATTGTGACCATGTATAGGAGTGTAGATGGTTCATTACCTTTGTAACTTGTGATTGTGACCATGTATAGGAGTGTAGATGGTTCATTACCTTTGTAACTTGTGATTGTGACCAGATCTACCTGGAGTTCATTATTGTTACAATTATTACTATTATTATTGATATAATTATTATTATTATTACTTACTAAGCCGGCGCCAACAATAGCCACTGTCTTGTCTTTTCTGGCTTCTCTTCCAGCCATGACTCCTGTACACTCCTCAATGTTAGGGTCACTACCTCCAGCAAGTGGCGATTGTAGGTGGAGATTGTTGGAGGGGTGGAGGTATGAGTGGAGATTGTAGAAGTGGAAATTGTAGGAGAGATGGAGATTGTAGGATGGGTGGAGATTGTAGGATGGGTGGAGATTGTAGGATGGATGGAGATTGTAGGATGGATGGAGATTGTAGGATGGGTGAAGATTGTAGGATGGGTGGAGATTGTAGGATGGGTGGAGACTGTAGGATGGATGGAGATTACAGGAGTGGTGGAGATCGCTGTAGTGGTCAACACAGGAGACGTAATGATCGTTGGAGAGGCCCAAATAACGCCTTTTTATCGATGGAGAAGCTGTACAGCTGAGAAGTGTTGGTGAAGCCTCGAGGGAGGAGTGTTGGAGACGTGGGAACTTGGTGAAGTGCCACAACTTCCTGGAGAAGTGTTTGTAAAGTGGTAAGAGTTTCGTACAAGTGGTAGAGTGGAGATAAGTGAGATTATCAGAGAGACGCAACACAACGTCTTCCCTCCACGATGCTCCACACTACACTAACTTATCTTCAAGGCATCAAGGTCGCCCAGGGTTGCCAGGATCTGGTTACTACGATAATTATAGTTGCTCACCAAATTATTACGTTTTTTTCATTGATATTGACACGCAAAATTATCGCACGATAAACTTAGCTCTTTTAAATTATCACATGTGACGCACGTGTCATCAACAAGTGACACACAGCAACAGATATTCACAATTATCAAGAGACATCCACAATTATCAACATTCACAATAATCAACATTCACAATTATCAACATTCACAATAATCAACATTCACAATAATCAACATTCACAATAATCAACATTCACAATAATCAACATTCACAATAATCAACATTCACAATAATCAACATTCACAATAATCAACATTCACAATAATCAACATTCACAATAATCAACATTCACAATTATCAACATTCACAATAATCAACATTCACAATTATCAACATTCACAATAATCAACATTCACAATTATCAACATTCACAATAATCAACATTCACAATAATCAACATTCACAATAATCAACATTCACAATTATCAACATTCACAATTACCAACATTCACAATAATCAACATTCACAATTACCAACATTCACAATTACCAACATTCACAATTACCAACATTCACAATTACCAACATTCACAATAATCAACATTCACAATAATCAACATTCACAATTACCAACATTCACAATTACCAACATTCACAATAATCAACATTCACAATAATCAACATTCACAATAATCAACATTCACAATTACCAACATTCACAATTACCAACATTCACAATTACCAACATTCACAATAATCAACATTCACAATAATCAACATTCACAATTACCAACATTCACAATAATCAGCATTCACAATAATCAACATTCACAATAATCAACATTCACAATAATCAACATTCACAATAATCAACATTCACAATTACCAACATTCACAATAATCAACATTCACAATTACCAACATTCACAATTACCAACATTCACAATAATCAACATTCACAATAATCAACATTCACAATTACCAACATTCACAATAATCAACATTCACAATTACCAACATTCACAATTGTCAGTAATGTGAATTTCACTTCCGAAGCCAAAAATCGTATTTTACACCCATAAAAAAGTATATTTGCAAGTTGTGAGATCCGAGACCATATAACTGCTCAATGTATCTTATCGTTCAAGTGGCGTCCCTGAGGTCGGGTTCCCTGAGGTCGGGTTCCCTGAGGTCGGGTTCCCTGAGGTCGGGTTCCCTGAGGTCGGGTTCCCTGAGGTCGGGTACCCTGAGGTCGGGTTCCCTGAGGTCGGGTTCCCTGAGGTCGGGTTCCCTGAGGTCGGGTTCCCTGAGGTCGGGTTCCCTGAGGTCGGGTACCCTGAGGTCGGGTTCCCTGAGGTCGGGTTCCCTGAGGTCGGGTTCCCTGAGGTCGGGTTCCCTGAGGTCGGGTTCCCTGAGGTCGGGTTCCCTGCTGTATTTACAACTCTTCTTTTTCAACATTTACAGTGTTGTTGTAAACATTAACAGTGTTGTTGTAACATTAACAGTGTTGTTGTAAACATTAACAGTGTTGTTGTAAACATTAACAGTGTTGTTGTAAACATTAACAGTGTTGTTGTAAACATTAACAGTGTTGTTGTAAACATTAACAGTGTTGTTGTAAACATTAACAGTGTTGTTGTAACATTAACAGTGTTGTTGTAAACATTAACAGTGTTGTTGTAAACATTAACAGTGTTGTTGTAAACATTAACAGTGTTGTTGTAAACATTAACAGTGTTGTTGTAAACATTAACAATAATTGTCTTAATACTTGATAATGTCATTTTAAATATTTAAAAAAGTGTAATTTTTTTTAATATTTACAATATATTGTAAATATTTACAATATTATAGTAAATATTAGTGTAAATATTTACTTACTGATGACGCAGCTTAAGATAATAATATTGATATGAACCTCACTTGGCAACCCACCCACTCCCACCCACCCCACCCTCACACACTCCCACCCACCCACCACCCTCACACACTCCCACCCACCCCCACCCTCACACTCTCCCACCCACCCCACCCTCACACACTCCCACCACCCCACCCTCACACACTCCCACCCACCCCACCCTCACACACTCCCACCCACCCCACCCTCACACTCTCCCACCCACCCCACCCTCACACACTCCCACCCACCCCACCCCACACTCTCCCACCCACCCCACCCTCACACACTCCACCCACCCCACCCTCACACTCTCCCACCCACCCCACCCTCACACACTCCCACCCACCCCACCCTCACACACTCCCACCCACCCCACCCTCACACGCTCCCACCCCACCCTCACACACTCCCACCCACCCCACCCTCACACACTCCCACCCACCCACCCTCACACGCTCCCACCCACCCCACCCTCACACACTCCCACCCACCCCACTCTCACACGCTCCCACCCACCCCACCCTCACACGCTCCCACCCACCCCACCCTCACACGCTCCCACCCACCCCACCCTCCACACGCTCCCACCCACCCCACCCTCACACACTCCCACCCACCCCACCCTCACACGCTCCCACACACCCCACCCTCACACGCTCCCACCCACCCCACCCTCACACGCTCCCATCCACCCCCACCCTCACACGCTCCCACCCACCCCACCCTCACACACTCCCACCCACCCCACCCTCACACACTCCCACCCACCCCACCCTCACACACTCCCACCAACCCCACCCTCACACGCTCCCACCCACCCCACCCTCACACGCTCCCACCCACCCCACCCTCACACGCTCCCACCCACCCCACCCCCTCACACACTCCCACCCACCCCACCCTCACACACTCCCACCCACCCCACCCTCACACACTCCCACCCCACCCACCCTCACACGCTCCCACCCACCCCACCCTCACACGCTCCCACCCACCCCACCCTTACACGCTCCCACCCACCCCACTTTCACGCGCTCCCACCCACCCCACCCTCACACACTCCCACCCACCCCACCCTCACACGCTCCCACCCACCCCACCCTCACACGCTCCCACCCACCCACCCTCACACGCTCCCACGCACCCCACCCATCCCCAAACACCCCCACACATCCTCACACACCCCAACACTCCCTCACACACCCCAACACTCCCTTACACACCCCAACACTCCCTCACACACCCCCACACATCCTCACACACCCCAACACTCCCTCACACACCCCAACACTCCCTCACACACCCCAACACTCCCTCACACACCCCAACACTCCCTCACACACCCCAACACTCCCTCACACACCCCCAACACTCCCTCACACACCCTCATTGTATCGTGTCCACTCTGTATTGGTCACTGGCATAACATTGTACACAGTGAAGGTGCGGTGAACCAATGCAGGAGTGAACATGTCCTGCTGCTGACTGATGACCAGGTGTGACACCTCATTAGACTACCACCCACACTTCACCACCCACCACACACCCACCTACCACCCACACTTCACCCACCACCCTCGCCCACCCACACCACACACCCACCTACTACCCACACTTCACCATCCACCCACACCACACACCCACCTACCTACCACCCACACTTCACCACCCACCCACACCACACACCCACCTACCACCCACACTTCACCACCACCACCCTCGCCCACCCACACCACACACCCACCTACCACCCACACTTCACCACCCACCCACACCACACACCCACCTACCACTCACACTTCAGTACCCCCCCCCGCCCACCTACAGACACCCACCTACCACTCACCCTTCACCACCCACCCCCGCCCACCTACACCACACACCTACCTACCACTCATACTTCACCACCCACCCCCGCCCACCTACACCGCACACCCACCTACCACTCACACTTTCACCACCCACCCCACCCACCCATACCACACACCTACCTACCACCCACACTTTACCACACACCCACCTACCACCCACACTTTACCACCTACTCAAACCCACCCCCCACACCACACACCCACCTACCACCCACACTTCACCACCCACCCACCCCACCCACCCACACCACAAACCCACCTACCACCCACACTTTACCAAACACCCACCTACCACTCACACTTCACCACCCACCCCTCGCCCACCTAACACCACACACCCACCTACCACTCACACTTCATACCCACCCCAGCCCACCTACACACACCCACCTACCACTCACACTTCACCACCCACCCCCGCCCACCTACACCACACACCCACCTACCACTCACACTTCACCACCCACCCCCCGCCCACCTACACCGCACACCCACCTACCACCCACACTTTACCACACACCCACCTACCACCCACACTTACCACCCACCCCAACCCACCCACACCACACACCCACCTACCACCCACACTTCACCACCCCCACCCACCCCACCCACCCCACCACACACCCACCTACCACCCACACTTAACCACCCACCCCACCCCACCCACACCACACACCCACCTACCACCCACACTTTACCAAACACCCACCTACCACTCACACTTCACCACCCACCCTCGCCCACCTACACCACACACCCACCTACCACTCACACTTCACCCACCCAGCCCACCTACACACACCCACCTACCACTCACACTTACCCCCCAACCCCGCCCACCTACCCACACACCCACCTACCACTCACATTCACCCCCACCCCCCCTCACCGCACACCCCACCTACCACCCACACTTTACACACACCCACCTACCACCCACACTTTACCACCCACCCCAACCCACCCACACCACACACCCACCTACCACCCACACTTCACCACCCACCACCCCCACCCACCCAACCACACACCCACCTACCACCCACACTTTACCACCCACCCCAACCCACCCACACCACACACCCACCTACCACCCACACTTCACCTCCCACCCACACCCACCCACACCACACACCCACCTACCACTCACAC